TGGCTCATTGCTGATTCGGAAGATGAATGCCATGGCCCATGGCAGTTGTTCAGCTCTAATGACTCTAATCTAAAGAATGTTCCAACCTCTGATAGCGGATAGAGTCCGACAGCTGTCGTTTGGCCAGGCTTTAGGCCCAATACTATAAGACATGAGCCCGTTGTTTTCATATCATTGGCACCAAAGCCCCACATGACCTTGATTGGGTTCCAAGCAGCAGCAGTAGCAGCAGCGATAAAAATTCATTAGCCATTAAAACATTTCAACCAAGTCTATAGTCTCTGACAAACAGAAACAGAAATACAGTGATCATTAAATTCATTAAATGCAAGGCCTAGGGCCTCTGACCAGAGCGAGACCAGTACCCACGGTACCCGGTACCAGGAAACTGAAATAGCAAACCAAAGAAGGAATAGTCACTAATAGTTAATGGTGGAATAGCAACTGGAGTACCAGAGCCACTCGAGTCACCAGAGTAGTCACTAGATTCACTAGATTAGAATAGTTGGGTAAAGAGTAGTGATAATGACTGATACCGTAGTGTAGTTGAATAGCTGACTCGTTTATGATTTTATGAACCATCAGATAATCATCACTATCACGGGGCATCTGCAGTCAGCTCGTCCGGCAGACCACCGATGTTCTCGAGAGCAATCGCCACATCCTTCAACGGCAGGCTGCGCAGATTGTCCGGGGAGGCATCCAAAGGCACGCAACGAAGCACTGCCTCCACAAAGCCTTGCACACCCAAAGTTGTGCCGGCAGACTCCTTGAACTTCTCCAGCCGGTGAAGAAGCTCGACCGCTTCCTGATCCATCGGATACAACTCCAAGCCCTTGATGACGACACTCACCATCTCAAGGCTGACCGACTTCCTCTCGGCCTCGGGGACGTTCTCCGTCGCCAGGATTGTGGATGTCGCATCCCGGAGCTCAGACAGCAGCAGACTCGAAAGCTCACGAGTAGCACCGTCTCTCATCTTCTCCACATACACTGGCAACCGCATCAGGGCTTTCTTCATGAGGGTGATGTCCATCGCCTCCTTGCCCTCCCTCGCCTCCCTGACCATTGCCAGCATCTCCTCGTACTCACCCTTGATCGCGCGGGAAGAGCCTGCCTTCTTCTCCATCTCTTCTGCCAGCCCACTGTAAAACCCATTGCCTCCGAAAAGCAGGGACTTGGAGGTGACAATGATGTTGTGGCTGCTGGTCTCGTTCTTGAGAAACTGCAGATCGTCCATGCCAGCATTCTTGGAGCTTTCTGCAGGATCAAGCAGGGTCACAAAGGCAGCTGAAACATGGCGGATGCGCTCCAGCCCTGTCTGCACACCTGTCGGGATCCAGCTCTTGTCCGGGTCCTGCAAAGCCACAATCTCCTCAAGCAACGTAGAGCAGATGAACTTGATCACGTGGCAGGTGGCCTCGCCAGCAGCCAAAAGGTCGCATAGCCCATCTGTGTAGAATGCGCTGCACAGGCTGTCTCCCACGGCCTGACATCACGAAAAAGGTTCCGGCAATCGGCACTTGTTCAACGACTGAACAACCGTAATCAAGAGGAATCCAGCAACACAATAATCAGTAACTAGTAACCAGTAACTAGTAAACTTAGCAAACCCAGTAAACTGAAGCCAACTTCAAACTTTGAGAAAATCAGCTGGCAGCAGATCGGCTATGACAAGGGCTCTCGGCTCGGGTGATTTCTGGACCTAGACCTAGGACCTAGGACCTAGGACGGGACCTTTAGAACTTAAAGGCTGAGGGTTCACGCTGCAAGCCGCCGCAACTCTCCAGACTCCAGAATCCAAAAGCCCAAGAGTGCCCCAAACCATTACGACCAAACACAAAAACCCATAGCTTCAGACCATACTTGGCAAATCACCACAGTACAGTACAGTACAGTACTCAGTAAAGTAACTCAGCACAGCAGAGCACTCAGTACAATACAGCCATCACAGAGCTTCCAAAGCAACATGTCTTCCTGGGCCTCTTGCCTGCGGAAGGAAGAACAAACCAGGCTCGCTAGAATCACCAGAACACTAGAATCACTAGAACCAAACATATAAAACATCCAACAATCTGCAATCTACAATGTCTACAATCTTCCACAGATGAGGCTGACTTCATTGTTTTGTTACGTTGCCATCAGCCCAGCACACACAGCATGCGTTAAGAAATTAGGGTAGCAGCAGCTACAATCTACAAAGGAGAGTATCCTCCAACACGATCAATATCTATTCAATCGACTCCATTCCTATCTGGTTTGCGCTAATTCGCTAATCATATCAGTCATACCATGGCCTCGATTCCTACATGCATTCCATCACATAGGTTTGGAGTTTAGTTTAGAGCTTAAAGACACAGAAACAAGAATCCTGCCTGCCAAATTTCGTTGTGCTGCTCCATCATGGCAATCTCCTCAACAAGTTCGCATTCCCCGAGCTCCTGCGCCTGCTTGTCCGTGATGGCGGAAATCAAATTGGCATACGTAGGTCGAAGAACATCATCGGTCCCCTGAACATTGGCTTTCACCGGGACCAGCATCGTAACCAGGACCTGCACGGCCTCCAGCTGGGACAACTTCCTCAAAGCGTCATCCTTGGATCTGGCCTTCTCAGCCACATCTTTGATCTGCAGCCACAGGTGGGCAGCATGGCGTTCGGCCAACACCATGCGAACCTGAACTGGCAATTCGAAGTTGGCCCGCGTGACCAGGGTGACGGCTTGCTGCAGGGCCGTCTCTGAAAGGGAAGCACCACCTTGCGCAAGGCTTGCCGCTTTCTCGCACAAGGAAATTCTGTTCTCGAGCAGCAGCTTTGCTCCTCCGGTGAGGCGCTCCAAGAGCTTTTTTGCCTGGGAACTGCATTGGAATTGGAACTTATGTGCACCTGGACACCTAATGACTAATGACGACTGAGTAGTACTGCTTGCGAGCTACTGCCTTCATCATTGTCACTGAAGCAGGGCCAATGATGAAAAGATCTAGTTACTGTAGTTAATTCAGTGACTGAGTTACTCAGTTACTGCGTTACGGACACTGACAATCAGACTCAGAGGTGTCACAGCAATTTCCGAGGCCGGTACAGCAGCAACTCGGACGCCCAGTTTTTCTCCACGAAGATGTCTTGCCACGTCCAAGCCAAGCAAGCAAACCTGCTGGGGCTGACCCAGCTTTGCTTGCACCCGTTGCATTTCGCTGTCAAGCTGGCTCTCACCTTCAACCTCCGCACGGTCCTGGAGAGAGGGCTCAAATTTGAAGCAGGAACCTTCAACCCGAATGACACCAGCCAGCATAAAAGATCTTCAGAGAGGAATGGCAGTACAGGGGTACTAGAACACTCGATGCAAAATGACTTCATGGCGTGTTGGCCACTGAATCTGTTCCATGAACTTGGTACACTCACTACTCAACTCACTACTCACTAGTCACTAGTCACTACTCACTCAGTCCAGAAGTCACTGAAATAGCCTACCTACCAGGGCCTACCAGCCGAGCAACAAGTCAATGACCAATCGCATATCATAAAGTATGTTAAAAACACCTTTCACACTCGGGTCCTTCACCTTGGAAAGGCCTGACACTCCTGAGTTCCTGGAGCCCTGAGACAGCCTGGACCTTCCACCAAGAGATCTTGCAGGAGACGTCTCCCTTCTCACAGGCTCAGTCGGCTCGCGTGTGGTTGGGGGGGGGGCTGCAGTCGCCTTGGCCGCGGCTTTGGCCTTGCGCTTGGGTGCCCTTTTCAACTCCACCTGGGAAAGGGCTGAGCTGACTGCTATGCGGCCAGGCCCAACACCACGGGTGGGCCTTGTCTGTGCAATGACATCTTGCAGATCCTCCTCTGCAAGCTCTTCCTCGAGCTCCTCCTCCTCGCTTTCGACAGCAACAGCTGCTGCCTGTCAAAAGGCAGGCAGTCACTCAAAAAGGGTTTATGAAAAAACTGCACAAGGATCTGATCAGTCAGTGTCCAGGATAGTCACGGAAGCAGTGCAAAATAAGTAACTGGAAACTCGCAGCTAGCATTAACTAGCAGCCAACTAGCAGCAGTAACTCAGCAACAAGCATCCACTGACTATAACCAGTTAACTAGTGACTTGTGACTACCCTGACGACTAAGACTACTATAACCTCGTGACTAATGACTAGTGGCTAACGGCTAACGTGACTACTGGGTGACTACCGGTGACTACCGGGTGCCGGACTACTCGACTGACTACCGGACCAGTGACTGCCAGACTGGTGACTGGTGGGAACCACTGGCATCAGTAAACGTAGAACCCCAAGTAGATTCCTAGATTGCTAGATTCTGGGTGGTTAATACTAATTATTAGACACATAATACTAGTTACTAGAATGCAAACTGGCTTGAACCGGCAACCGGCAACCAGACCAACTTGCTACCCTGTTTCGTCGAGTCATTGTTGCAGAATGCAGAACTCATCAGACATGGTCATCTAACAGTATGGAACAGCTACGAATCTAGGACCATATCTACAATGACTGTAAAATGGGGTAACTATGGCATCCCGATTCACCGAACCGCGCTTCCCATCTCTCTTGGTACCTCGGGACCTAATTGTCAACACTGGTCACTAGCTATAGCAGCCACCAGTCACTAGTCCCTAGTCACTGGCAAGAATTCACAAGCAGCCAAGCAGACCAGTACAATAAACATCATAACTATAAGCCACTGTCGGCCATAATCACATAATCGTTTCTCTGGTCTCCTTGCAGATTTGTATTCCCCAAAAGATATGTGGGGGATCGAAACATATAGAAACTTTGCCCCTATCCTGTTTGGGCCTTAGGGTTTAGGGCTTGCGGACGAGGATAATCATGATCATATCGGCTACAGTCTAGAGTCCGCTAGAGCCACAAATTTTCATTCCCGCAATCCCCGTGACCTGAACCATAACTTCACCATGATATCTATGAACACAATCATAGTACCAGTAACTGTAACCATAACACACATCTCAACTATTAACTATTCATTCACACGGTCCTCAGGACCTTAAGAGAACCAAGCAAGGAGCTGATTCGAGAATGCTAAGCCTAAGCTGCGAGACTGCTAGACTGTCATGTAAAAAGGCCTGCTGCTTGAAGTCAGCACCCCGCTGGATCAGCTGCTGGAGGGTAGGAGGCACCGTGCGGGTCGAGTGGCCCACAAACTCTTTGGGGTAGCTCTCGGTCTGCTTGCGGGAAAGGAACGTCAACAGCACTGACGGCTGGGACTCGTGTACCATACCTTCAGGCTGCAAGTTATCCTCGCGCAAAACCAGAGCCGTGTCGCGATAGACCTGGACACGCCTGAGGCTCAACACCTCGTCCAGCGGCAACCCCCGGAGGCTCAACAAAAAGCCTGCAAGCACTGGGTGCCCACGCTGCTCGGGCTGCAGCAGGACTTCTTGCAGCTTGAGGAATTTGCTGGAGTGCCCCGCAAGGCGGACAACATCCCCTTCTGAGCAGAAGGCCATTTCAAACACCAAGCGGACTCCCTGGCTCGCCATGGAGCTCACAGTTGCAGGCAGGCTGAACTCAACCCCGTCCTTCAGGTTTTGGGCTGCCTCATCAATCACTCGTTTGCAAGTACGTCCAGCCTCCGAGTCTTCATGATAAAGGACGGCAACAACCTCCGGCGGTTGGTCGGGGTAGAGCTGTATCACCACCTTCAAATGCACTCCACACCACAAACCCGTCGGTTGGCTCTTGGAGTTGAAGGATGCCCACTCGACCTCCTGCGCACATCAGGCTTCTCTTGAATCCCTTAACACTTTAGCTATAGCTAGGGCCAGGGAGCAGCTAGGGCTAGGGCTGCTTTACATGCTGATTAGTCACTGATTAGGCTGATTCGTTAGTCAGTTAGTTATGATTTATTGATTCGAACTAGATTACTTACTAGTTACCAGTTACTAGATTACTAGAGTCACTAAGAAAAGTTTCCTCAACCAACATAAAACCCAGGACCCAGGACATTTCGACGACTGAAAAGTGCCTTGGGGTTCTTCTTGCAGATCAAGCACTGCAACGAGGCCACACTCACCACGCGAGGCCTCTTGCTCTTGGGCTCCTGAACAGACAGGGCTTTGCTGGAACTTGAGATGATGCCTGCCACACCCGACCCGTCCTCCCTGGACATCATTGCTGCAAGCAAGATGGGTCACAAGGCAATGTCAAGCCTGTGGGGCCGGCTGATCGAAAGCGGCTACGTCCGGTCGGCAAAAATCAGACAAATCTCACAAAACACTGATTCTGATAGAATCTGATAGAATCGAATGCTTGTCGCGGTCGCAAACATGAGCAGTTCATTACACATACTTCAGAAACTTCAGAGCAGCTCAGCGCCCATGAAGCCACACATTTTTCCCACAGTCCACAGGATTCGAGAGTTTCTGTGGCCAAGTGTTTTTTTCGGCAAACCCCCCACAGTAAGCCACAGGCCTACTGGAAGGTGGGGGGCACTCCGGGCTATCAAGCAGATCAAATCTAGCAGCATTGATCGTCATACGTCATACTGGTACTCAGAGAAGCACCTGAAACATGATTTCTCTGTACTATTTCTACGGCTGGAGGCACCTGGCCGGCAGACGGCAGACGGGATTACAGCTGTGCTCAAACGCTGTAAATTAGAGTAGCTGAGCAACCAGGACCTAGGAATTGAATCATGAATAAAGATTGAGAAGAAAACAACATGACCATACATTCATACATTACATTCACCACATTGACCGAACAAGATACTAGGTGCAGCTACTAGATACTAGGACTTACTGACTTACTAGAATCATAAAAAGTGAATCACAAGAGTTATCAGATTCCACAAACTCAGTAGCAGTCTGTCTCAGCATCCCTGCCGACACGGGCAACCAGAATCAGCTGTGCCCCAGTGTGTGCATGCACACACACACACACACGGAATCACACAGATGAGTCAGTGACATTCACTGTCTCCTGAAACAAGAAGGGCATGGCCAGTGACAACAGATAAGCTGGACACCGCTAGTGACCACTACCGACCGCTAGTCCTCTAGTGACCGCTAGTGCCGCTAGTGAAGACTTGACTTTGAACTGATGTGAGTCTTTGAAGCTGATGCCAATCGATTAAATAGATTGAATGAAGTCACCAATACAGTAAATTTAGTATTGAAGTATTGATACTCAGCTATTCAAATTCGGCCATCCCCTCCCAGCCCAAGAGCAGTCGGCCACAAAAAAACAGCGTTCCCACATGATTCGCTTGACCAAGATTTCAGCTGCAGCTGATACATTGTCCAGTCTACTTAGATTCTACTTAACTCTGTACCTGGCGTATGCTTGACACTCACTCTGTTAATGATAATGGTTACCTAAGACCTACCTAGGGCAGGGCGGCTAGAGCCCTGAGCGCCTGGGGACCTCGGGACTGGGGCAGCCATACACTCATACGCAGTATACATTATGTCGGTCACATAGGCAGACATACCTGCTCAAAGAAAGCCACGACGGTGTTGTTCTTGTTGTTGCTGCTGTTGTTCTTGAACTACTACTTGGTACTTTGCTCCAATCAAAGGATTGAGGCTCTCGATTAGCAATGATTAGCAGTATGGCAGTATGGGTTAGGACAGTTAGGCTCAGGGCTTAAGGCTTCAGGTTAAGCTTAAGGTTTCAAGCTTAAGGGGTAGTACCGGGTAGGGGTAGGTTCAGACCTGTGGGCTAGGTGCGGCTAGGTCTAGAGTCTAGGCGAGGGCCGGCTTCAAAAGTTTTTAAGGGCCCTTCCTGCTACAGTCGGAAAGGACTTTCGGCAGATTGAGGTGTTAGTTCGATTGTAGGTGATCAAGCTATGCCGACTCGTGTCCTTCCCGACCTTGCAAAAGTTTAGGGCTTAGGGTTTAGGGCATACGGTTGATGATATAAATCCTGCATCACCCATAATAAGGAATATACCATAATTCCCATAGTTTAGGCTCCCTAAGGTAATGCAGGATTTATATCATCAACCGTAGGGCTTAGGCTTAGGGATTAAAGATGTGACTGTAATCAGTAATCACTGTAATCAGCAATGACAGCAGCATTGGAACATGATCCCCACTGCGGCCTGTAGGCAGTGAAGGATATGTTCCCAAGCGTGAAGGCAGAATCTGTGGACAGCACAGCAACACACCTGTGGACCTGATGTTGTGCAAAATTCTACTGCCAGCTGACAGCTGTCAGCTGCTCAGCTGAGTAGCAATATGATGATAGTACCTGCAAAGGCTAACACGGTAACATCGCTGGTGCCAGCAACAATGCTGCGAACACAAGCTCCACAGCTACACTACACTGTTTCTACATTCATGGGCTCATTAGCTCATTAGCTGCATCATTAGCTGCTCTTTGCTCTACTGAACTGCTACATTCCCACAAATCCTACGCTCCTACACTGTCCTACACTGGCCGCCACTGGCCCTACACATTGCCCCTGCTGAATGGAAGGTTTACATGGTTTTTTTCTAGTGGGGGGCCCGGCTACTGAAGCAGCACATCACTAGCCACTAGAGGCTAGTAGAGTCTAGAATCTAGATAGAGTCGCAAAGGGCAGTCACTAGGGCACTAGGGCCATTAGGAATCATTAGGGCACTAGGGTCACCTGTCACACAGGGCACAGGTAGGTGTATTCCCATTAAACTTAAACATACTAAACCTATGACTACAATTACAATGACTACAAACATATCACAACCAACCCGTGGGCCACAGGATCATCATCCCTGGAAACCAATCCAGTGGATGCTGCCTGGCATGTCCACAAACAAAGCCTGACAGGCTACGGCCAAGACCATCTTGACAAATCTGAGCTGACTGACACACCCCAAGGAATCAACGATCAACAAATGACTGAATCGCTTAGTCAAGCTTTGTCAGGCCAGTCTAGTTACTTGCAAATCTAGGACGCTAGACCGCTAGACTCCTAGTCCTAGCAGTCCTACTATCCTAGTAATCCTAGTACCCATGAACTAGTGTCTAGTCAATCCAGTGTCTTGGCGGCTTTAGGTAGTTGTTTGTTACTGTTAATAACAGTCAATCACTCAATTAATTTATACTTCAGGTAAATTTAGTTTATTAGTTAAGTTATAGTTATAGGGCATAGTTTAGGTCTTTAGGTTAGGTCGTTAGGTCCGGTAGGTACGGTTCGGTTTGTTGGGTTGGGTTGCGACAGTGAGGACCTGGCACCTAGGACCTAGACCTACACCTAGGACCTAGGACCTAGGACTTAGGACCTAGGAGGAAGTATTGAAAGTTGCTCAGAAAAGCAAGAGGTCTGTCAGCGCAAATCAAGCTCCCAATCACCATCATCATCAGCATGAACGGCACAAGACGGGAGGCCCTTCAGCAGATACACTGCCCAAATCACAACTCCGAGGCACGGCAGCGACATGCCTTGCCCTGACAGCTCTCGCATCTTCCCTGCACACTGCTCAGGGATAGCAATGTCAAAGCCCCATCCCTGGAGCCTCATGTACTCAATCGGAAAGAGTGCCCGGTCGGCTTCAAAGGAGTAGAGTTGGGAGGATGTAGTCAAACAGCGCATCTCTCCATTCTTTCCTGAATAAGCCCTGCGAGCTGGATTTTGGCTCCAGTCCAGGAACACATTGCACATGAGGTCAGGCCAAACAACATCACGAAGGTACCCACGGTTTGGATGCTCAGACCACTTCTGGAGACACACCAGATCAAGCATGGTTTGCACCCGCTCATTCTGTGGAACACCCCGTCCCACAAAGTCTCGCCGACTTGTCCAAACACGGTGCTTAGCAACATCAACTCCAATGGCTTCGCTCCACCGAACCGCCTGTGCCTTCCAGGCAGGGAAGCCCCCGCTGTCGCCACGAGTGCGGGCATCCTGCACAGAAGAATCTGCTTGGAACTATGAAGTCCCCCAATTGCCCAATTACCCGAGTGACTGCTAAAGGCTTTGGTGACCGTGTTGAATAGTGAACAGCGACTAGTGCCAATGCGGCGCCAATGCGGTACATTACAATGGCAATAAGAAGATTTAACATACTAACATAATACTATTTGGAGAAAGTATTGGACATTATAAGTAATCATTATCAATAGTTCAATAGGGCCAGGAAATTTTGGTGAATGGGATTAATGATTAATGATTGTCGTTTATATTGATAGATTATTGATTAGAAGCTGCCCCCACCCTGTAATAGTGGTATAATAGGAATACAATAGGGCCCTAATATATATATATATATATATATATATATGTATAATATTAATATAATCCTTATGGCACTATTACAGGGTGCGGGCAGCTTCTAAATTATTGATTTTTGGCTCTTGGACTTGGACTCTTGGGCATGCACATCTGTTCAACAAAGCACTGACCTGCACAGCCTACATTCCTACATTGACTTCTGGCAAACCCCGACAGACTCTGACAACGCATGCCGAAGCAAATCAGCCCAAGGCCCAAGGGAAACATGCAGCACAACATGAACAACTATGATCATCCATGATCTGATAGTCACAGTCTGCCTGGCCTTGCTTGTACGCTTCCAAGAACTCAAGCTGCAAGACTGAACAAACAATGCAACGCAGCTAAGCCGCTAAGCTTCCTCAAGACAATGCAGGCCCCAAAGGGACCCAAATCAAACTCTGTATGGAGCTGTTCTGCAACCCTGAAGCCTAAACCACCCATCAGCATAAGCAACCTTTTGTGCCCGGAAAGTCCCCAACCACTTATCAGTCAGTAAGCAACCTGTGCACCCCAAAGTTTGGGCCCCAAAGCCCCGGGCCCGCACCCATAACCTGTGCCCCCTCCCTCAACATCTCAAAGCAAGGCGCCCCAACCACCCCAGGCCACAGCTCCAGAATACAGACCCCACGCCCGGCCCGGCCCCAATCCTCACGTTGCCTTGGCCCTGGCCGGGGCCCCAGGCCTGGGCCCCTGGGCTGGTGCGGGGAGTGCCCGGCCCCCCCCGTTCACCGCCCCCAGACCCCCCATGCCAGCCCGCCCTGGCCTGGGCCGAAAAGTGGTCACTCCCTAGGGAAAATGCAAAAAAAATGTGAAAAAAATGTGAAAAAAAATGTGAAAAAAATGTGAATCAAATGTGAATCAAATGTGAAAAAAAAGCTCCGAAAATGTGGCCCTGAAAGCACTGGAAAATCCATGGTTCGAAAAATGTGACGGGAAATGTGAATCAGCAGGAAATGTGACAGAAATTGTGACCCTTGACATGCCCACCCAATCCCAGCTTGCCAGGCCTTCTTCGCCCCTTGCTTTGCAAGAATCTCCAGGTTCTTCTCATATTGTGGATGGTCAGGCTGCATCATAAGCTCACGAATAGACGCTGGAGGCACCTCCTTTTGGCCATCCAAGATCTCCTCATATGCAGCAAACACACTGATTAGCAGATTAACATCCCTCAACCGACTTAGCCGACTTAGCCTTTGCTTTACACTGTACACTGTACTCAGACTCATGTTGCAACTGACATGATGGCCGAAACTTTAACCACCTGCTGCATGCTCAAACAGCTGGCAACTTTCATATTCACTGCAATCACTGCAGCCCAAAGCGCCTGCATGATGCAACTCAGCTTGGTCGCATCATCTGCAGAGTAGATGTCCTTCCTCAGCAGCACCATGTAGATCCTGCCGGAACACATATCTGATCTAATCTGAGAGTGGATTGGTGGGATTGCATATGCAAAGGGGATTCCCGGCTAGCTGCTAGTTTGGCAAGTGCTGAGCATCACTGAATCTGGCAAAATTGGCAGTGCTGAGTTGCTTTTTTTCTCTTCATGGGCAAAGCACTGCAACACGCGTACCGAGCATCTGATGTTGTCATGGGAGCCGCTTTATGGAACTCGATCCGGCTCTTCAGCTTCATCCTCCCTTCTCACCCGCTCGTTGCGGGCCATCGCCTCTGCACCAGGGAGCTTCAAGAAGCGTTGCCGGGCCGACAATCGTTCAGCTTGTGTAAAGGATGACAACAGCTTAGGAGCTTGGTGAGCCTCTCGAGTGGAATGGTCCTTGCCGCAGAAAAGCCACTGAGCCAGCAGTCCAAGAGGTCTGCCCTGCCCTGCACGGGCAGGTAAAGTTGATGGCTTGCATGTCCTGGATTTTCTGCAGTCTTCATGGCCTTTTTGGCGGCAGAAAGCAACAAAGTTTTGGGCTGGTGGATAGAAGTGAATGGAACCAAAACCATCAATATCACACGTTTGCTCGAGGTAGGACCGCTTCCTGCCAGAAGTTGCCACTTGGAGGGCTTCATCGCCATCTTCTGCAGATTCGGCTGGAGGAGGATTTGCACGAGCTGGCATGGGGTCGGTCGACGACGATGCCGGTTCTGCTGATGCAGCTGGCCCTGCAGGCCCATCTCCCCCTCCAGTGTCGCCACCAAATCTGGGCCCACGCTTCGGCAGCCATTTGCTGATCTTCTGGGCCAAACTCTTTGGCTTGGCCTTGGCTTTGGCAGCCTTGGCAGCCTCTACCACATCAATCTGTCTGAGAATCCATGGAGCGACTGGAGCATCATCATCGGACAATGCCTCGGCCTCCGAAGAAGCCTGGGAATCAGTTCCTTCACTGTCCTCGGCTGCAGCGGCATTGTCGGCACCATCAGCAGCTTCAGCATCGTCAGGTGCAGCAGCAGCTGCTCCAAGCTGGCGCGGCTTCTTCAAAGGTCGAGAAGATGAACTCTTGTTCTTTCTTTTTCTCGGTTTTCCACCACTGCGCTTCTTCGTGCCATACAGCTTCTGCAGTCTCTTTTCCTCCATCGCACCCTGATCAGAGACTGCAAGGCAAAAAACAGCAGAATTGAAGCATGTTTATCAAACTATCGCTCCTGACTATTGACTATTGAATACCGGAAAATTGTATTTCTGAGCCACTTAGTGACTTAGTGACTTAGTGATTTAGTCTCAATTTATTACCGAGCCTTACTCCCTCCATGCGCACTTGACTCTACTTGCAGCCTATGCATCTGCTTCCATAATGTTATGACTGTTGCGGTAACAAAAATGACATAACTGCTAGCTGCTAGCTACTCAGCTGTGCTGATAAGAGCTAACTAACCCAGCGACCTAGCTAACTAACTTAACTAACAGTGACTAACTGACTAACTGGGTAATGACTGTGACTAATGATAACTAATGTAACTACTAGTGGCAGCGGAAACTAGTCAGTCTAATAACTGGACACTGAAACAACAAGAGATCACCACATGTGAAAACACACTTCGCTGCAACCAACAGTAGCCTTCCACACAAGCAGCTCCGGAACAGAGGCCAGCCGAAGCACTTCAACAACCTCAGGCGCCATGTCTAATGGAGCCAGCTCGCTGTCGTCAACAAAGATGATATACATCGCAGCCTTCCAAGCAAACTTGAGATCAAATCTCTGTTTGAATGCCACAGTGTCCCGCAAGAAAATTGAGGGCTCCGGAACTCGCAGCACAGTCAGTTGCCGACCATCTGTTGTTACCTGGGACTCAGGCTGTTCATCCAACAGGAGGAAGCTGAAGTGCCAGTCCCGAAAATTGGCATATGAAACATGCACCCAGATGCTTTCGTCCACGTGGGATTGCTCCACGCCTTGTCCGGAGTCCTGATCAGCATCCGCAAGAGGTTCTTGGCAGACTGTGTCCCAACCTGCACTTGTGTCAAAACTCGGCATCTGTCCCTCTGGCGGCAGCTTTGTGAACTTGAACACCAGAAGCCCTTGCTCCATGAAAAGCCGCGGGACAGGCTTCTTCCCCTTCTGCACTGCAGGCTTTGATCCTTGCCGAGCACTGTCGGCGTCTGGCTTGGCTTTTGCTGCAGGCTTGACCCGCAGGAAAGGGCGGAAAAGTGACACCAGATTGGCATGAATCCTTTGGGCAGTCACGTGCTTGCCACAAACACACTCTGCAACTTTGCAACATTCCTGCTCATGAAAGTCCAGCCCCCTGTGCACCCCAGACAGAGATGGGGCATCGCAGTGCAGACGCATTGCAGATTGAGACTGGGTGACCTCCACGAGCTCTTTGAGCAAGCCACTTCTGTTGGGCAAAGTGCTGAAGAATTCCTTCAGGGGCTGGAGGAGGTATTTGTATTTTAATGATATCAAGTAGAGTCAGAGGTTGGGGATTGGGTTTAGTTTAGATCTGTGCAGCAACAGCACAGCACCACCACCACCACCACCAACAACAACAACAAGAGAAACCTCTGCCAAGCGCTCTAGCCGCTAGCCGACTCTAGCCCAGATGGTGATTCAACAAATGCTTTCAACAATGGATTAACGAGTATCAGACACTCCCTAAACCCTGCTTGTCTGCGACTCCATGGCTATGTCCGGCTAAGTCAATTTTGGCACACGACAATCAATAAAATTCAATACAACCAATACAATCATGATTTTCTACTAACTACTAGTAGACGTTCTTGTCTACACTGGTAGCCATCAGCAGTCAACAAATGTTAATCTGTCAATCTCTCTTTTGATAGCTGATAGATGATAGATTCTGATAGATCAGATCTATGTAGCACAGTTCAGTAGCCGCCAAGATAGGTGGGCTGCAAAAGATGACAAAGTATGTCCAAGTCTGAGTTTGCCACGTCGAGTAGAGGAGTCTAGGTCCTGGTCATGGTCGCTCAGTAGCCACTAGTCACTAGTCACTAGTCCCAGTTATTCAGCTGTTGGGTCCTGATCATACTGGTGATTGGCGGAGAATGGCTGCCTGCTATATGCT